GTCCGCAAGGCCCGCGAGGAGCGGGCCGCGGCCCTCAAGTAGCCCTACGAGGAGACTGCCCGACCAGGCTGCCGCTTGGTCGGGCGCCCCGGCAGGGAGGCATGGCCGCCTTCCCTGCCCCCCGTGTGCCTCCGGCAAAGGTGGCCGCCGACGCCGAGGATGCTCGCAGTTTTGGCCGGCTCAACGGGGGCAGCAGGCAGCGCGACCTGTTCCTTCTACCTGATGTTTTCCAGGGGGCTGCCGAGTTTTCGTCGAGCTGCCGCCCGACCCTGTCTCGTCGATCCCGTCGGCGCCTCCGCGCCCACCAGCGCGAGTTGAACTGGGCCAGTGACATGGTGAAGTCGCTCAATGAGATGAGTGCTGGGCCGCGCAGCTGCGGCGGGTGTGGATCGTCAACTACTGATGGACAGCGTCTGGTGCTCGACCGCCTACTCTCGTGTGCCCAGGAGGTTGGTCGCCCTCCTCCAGGGCTTACTGGGCAGGGAGCCTTGCGAACGCTTCTGGCCCGCCGGGGATGTGAGGGTGAGCCCGCCACCCTGGCCAGCCTTGATGTTGATCGGCTTGCGCTGCCAGAGCGAGGTCATCGCGCGGTGCCTCTTTCGGAGCTGGATGGAGCAGCTGGCGTGGAAGTCGCAATGACATTGAAGGAGAAGCTCCTGCCAACAGCGGAGGCAGAGCAGCGCAAGTTTGATTCGGGAGTGTGAGCAGTTTTTACAGATCAGCGCCTTCGTAATCGCCGCCAGTACTGCAAGTTGGTGAAGCGGCTTGAGGCGCGCGGGCTCATCGAGTACAGGAAGCACCGTATGGAGGGCGTGGGCGTCTTCGCCGTTCACGAGAAGGACGGCGCTCAGATAATGATCATAGATGCCAGGTGGGCCAGCGCGCACTTCGCAGACCCGCCCGACGTGAAGTTGGCGACTGGCCAGAGCTTCGCAATGCTTGAGGGGGATGCTGGGCCCCCGATCTGGCTTGGAGGCGTCGACATCGTGAACTGCTTCTACACGCTGGAGTTGCCGACAGAGTTCCGCGGGTACTTCGCTCTCCCTCGCGTTCGGGCTCAGGGTGCTGGCGTCGCCGCCGTGTTCGACGGTGCGATCGGCATCGGCAGCGTGGTTTACCCATGCCTGAAGGTGGTGCCCACGGGCTGGAACCAGGCCCTCATGGCATGCCAGATCATTCGCGTCGTGATCGTGACCAAACTGGAGGGGATCTCTGCGATCAGCATAATGGTTGGTGGGATGGAGGTGCCCAGTATGCGGCCGATGGTACACGCTGAGTACGTGGCTAACTTCGTGGCCTACTCTAACTTGGAGGAGCCCGTTGCGTCGGCGGCCCGCCGAGTGAATGCTTTGTTCCGCTCGAAGGGGGTCCCTGCCCACGGCGTGGAGGTCAGCCAGGGGGGCCAGTCGCTCGGCTGGGAGTTCGCCGCTGACGATAGTCTTGTGGGCCCCAGCCGCCTCCGTCTCTGGAGGCTGCGGCTGGGCATTCGCGAGGTGCTACGGCGACCTCGAGTCTCTGGTCGTCTCATCGAGATCATCGTTGGCCACCTGACCTTCGTGGGGCTCCTGAGGAGAGAGTTTCTCGCCGTGTTCGGCGCCGTGTGCGCCTTCATCAGCCAGCGCAGGGAGCGCGAGGTGGTGTTCTGGCCGGCTGTCAGGAGGGAATTGTTGTGGGCGCCCTCGCTACTTCCTCTGCTGCGACGTGACCTTGGGGCGGGGTGGTCGGACGCGGTGTGCGTCAGCGACGCTTCGCCGCGGGGTCGCGGAGTGGCGGAAGGGGAACGGGGGATCGCGCTCATTGCAGCTGCCGGGCGCGTAAGCGAGCGCTGGCGCTTCTCTAAGAGTGAGGAGCACGGCGCCCGCGTTCGCCTGCGCTGTGAGCTTCAGCAAAGTCAGCTCCGCTCGCAGGAGAAGGACAGCCAATGGCCAGCCACCAGTGCCCCATCGTTAGATTTCCAGGAAATCAGATCCGAGCTCATGAAGGGAGAGTGGAGAGTCGTTTCAGCTGGCCGCTGGTGGAAGTCCGAGCGCATGCCGCTGCTAGAGGCCTGGGCTGTTCTGTGGGCTTTGAATCATCAGTTGTGTCGCCAACGCTCTTTCGGTAAAAAGCTTCTCTTCTTGGTGTATGCGATGAGCATTTGTCTGATGTTGACGAAAGGGAGATCGTCGTCCTCGCCGATGGATCGAATCTGTAGACAGTGGAGTGCACTCTGTCTTGGGGCCAATATTATACCGAGCATCCGTTGGATCATGAGTGAACTGAATCCCGCTGATGAGCCATCTCGTATCTTCGCGCCACCAGCGCCAACGTCAGCACTTCATCGTCATTTTCTGGGTGCCGTGCCACATCTTGGCTCTGAAGCCGTTGATACACGGTCGGGCTCCCTCGACCCAGCTTCCCAGGGCGCCGTCAGAGATGCGCGATGTGCAGTCGCTTTGGCGGGGGGAGCTGGCGCCGCCCCTGCCGCTAGAGATCCGCGGCCCGGGGCGCTGGAGCGGCCTGCTGCCCCGCCAGGAGATGGAGCAGCCCGGCAAGACAGGAGTCTTCGACGAAACCATGGTGCTGGGCAACACGGAGCACGACGACCTGAACCCAGTGCGGGCCCACCTCCTGGCCCCAGAAGACAGCAAGCTGTTCCCGAGGAGCTACCTCGAGTGCGCCGGCGCCTTCAGCGGGGCCGCGGAGGCGCTGCAGCACGCGCCGCTCGGAGTGCTGCACCTGTGCCAGCCGCGACGCGGCGGGGTGGGCCACGGGGTGGCGAACGGCAGGCGGCCGATCGCCGACGCTCAGAAGCGCGGGGGGTGGCTCAGCGCTGCCAGCATGAGGCGCTGCGAGAAGGGGGGCCGCATCAGCGAGGTGCTGTATCGCCTCTCGGGGCCGCAGCTGCAGCGCGCGCGCCAGCGCCGCGAGGGCCTTGGTGCGATCCTCTGCGGCACCTCCCAGCCTGTGCGCAGCGAGCGCGGCGGGTAGTCGCGCTCGAGCTCTTTGCAGGCAGCGGGGCCTTCTCGCAAGCGTGGCGCCGCCAGGACTTCCTGGAGGGGATCCCCATCTTCGAGTGAGACATCGCCCATGGTGAGCGGTTCGGTCTGCTGAAGGCACGGAACCAGAAGATCAGTCGTGAATGGCTGATGGCGGGCTTGGTGTGGGCAGTGTGGATTGGCCTCTTGTGCGCGAGCTGGTCGTCGGCTCGACGATCCGATGGCACGGGCCCTCCAGCTCTCCGCAGCTCCGAAAATGTGATGGGGCTGCCACATCTCGCCCCGACTGACCAGCTCAACGTCGAGCAGGGTAATCGCATGATGCAATTTTGTCACTCGCTATTTGTGTTGTGCAGACAGCTGCGGATGCCCATAGTCTGTGAGACCCCCCACTCCTCTCGCCTCTGGATGGCTCGCCCCTTCTTCCAAATACGTCATTGGCCCGAGACTAGAGAGTTAGTGGCCGATTTCTGCCGGTGGGCCAAACCCTGGAGAAAAAAGGACCAGGCTTCTTACCCTATTTGTAGACTTAGGGAATGCCGAGAAACGGTGTCGCTCGTGTAAAGGATTATTTCATCGTACAGGAAAGCCTTCGCTGATTTTGCGTGGGAGGAAAGACGGCGAGTTCCTCGCTAGCATTGCCGAACCGCATCCGAGTCGCCTCTGTAACGTTCTGTGTGCTTGTTTCGCCAATGCCATTGCCGATGAACGTGCCCTCGCTTTGTTTAATTTCGGCCAGTAGGCCAGTTGTACTTCTGGATCGAGTGCGCTTGCAGTATGTGTTTTTGGTGAGATGTGGCGGGCGATCCTCAGCCTCTCGAATCTTCGATTTGTTGGCGTGCCTGCTACGCTAGCTTCAGACTGAGGCCGAGCTCATCCGCCCTCGCACAGAACAAGTTCCGTCTGGCGAGGGTTGCGGAGTTGGCTGATGCGAGCGCTCGCACGTGAATCATCTGTGGAGCCCGATCGCCGCCGAGCGTTTGCGCTTCTATAGTCTTCTCCCCCTCCCGCCCCGTCTGCTTGCGTTGCCCCGTTCGACTCTCTCGGCGCTCTGTGGTGAGATGTGGCGGGCGATTCCCAGCCTCTCGAATCTTCGATTTGTTGGCATGCCTGCTACGCTAGCTTCAGACTGAGGCCGAGCTCATCCGCCCTCGCACAGCCAAAGTTCCGTCTGGCGAGGGTTGCGGAGTAGGCTGACACATATATATATATATATATATATATGACGCCCCAGGAGGCTTAGATGGCTGACCGCGCGGAGAGTAACAGGCGCCAGCGGTGCCAGCGCAGATTGGGGAGTATGTTGAAAGGCGAGCAGTAGAGACGAGGGCGCGGATCAGCGGCCGCGCGGGATATAGTAAGACGAGCCGCGCGGCGCTTGGCGGCCTGTCCCTGGATCTGCGCGATTTGCCATCAAACGCGTGTCGTTGTATCAACAACAATTGGAAACGCGAAGTAATACCGATCTCAGAGTGTTTGGCGCGCTGGCGTGTGCGTTGGTTCCCCTGCAGGCTTCTACGTCCGAGAGATCTGCAGAATTGCATGCGGAACGATATTCTCAGTCAGGAGGAGTCGAGGTAAAAACAGCAAGTGCACGAAGTAATATTGATTTCTGAGTTTTCGGTGTGCTTGGCGTTTGTATGGCTTTCACTACAGATTTCTGCTGATGAGAGATCTGCGGAGTTGCTTGCGGCGCAGGGCTCAGAGCCGGGTTCGGTCGAGGTAAAACAGCAAATGCGCGAAGTAATACAGATTTTCGAGTTTTCGCTATGTTTGGCGTTTGCGCTGCATTCGCCGCCGATTTCTGCTTTTGAGAGATCTGCAGCGCAGGACTCCAGCCGGGGTGGGTCGAGGTAATAACAGCGAGTGCGCGAAGTAATCTTGATTTGTTTAGTTTTCGGCGTGGTTGGCGTTTGCGTGGTTTTCACCGCCGGTTCGTGCTTATAAGAGATCTGCGGAGTTGAGTTGCTTGCGGCGCAAGCAAGGGGGGGCGTTTAGCGCCACAAGTGGTTTCTCTTGAAGGGCGTCGCTCCCGACGCGGAGACCCTCGCGGAGTGCATGGACCCGCTGGGCGGCATGGGCTCGGCGGGCTCCGACGCCGCCGCGGCCAGCGCCGCGGGCGCTGGCGACCTTGCTGAAAACCGATATTCCAAAGATCTAGGCGCGGCCATCACGAACGCGCCCGTGCCGGATAGCCGGCCGGACTTGCGGCGCGAGATCGACGCGGATGGCTCGACCAATCGCATTTTGGAACGTTGGGGGCCCGCGGATTTTCAGCGAATTCTTCGGCGGCGCGGCGAATTCACATGTGCCCGCGAGGTGGATGGCGAGCCCGACAACGCGCTCAGCGTCATCGCCAAGGTCCGCGCCGAGGCGGCCGAGCTGATCGCGCAGTGGCCGACGCTGCCTGACGAAAGTGAGAAGGACGCCCTCAACGTCGTCGCTCTCTGTGCGATGGAGGACCGTCTGTGGAGCCCTCAAAACGACGTCGCGGCAATGCTCATCGCGGGAGTTGCATCCGGTCCGCTCCTCGTTGCCCGCGACGACGGCGTCTTTATGTACAGGCAGGGCGCCCTGCAGTTGATCGAGGAGTTCAGCGCGACCGACGTGCGCCGGCTCGAGCTGGCATTGTTGGAGGCGACCGCCATGTTCAAGGTGATCATGGGTGATATCGCGAACAAGGGCGCGACGGCCGCGTTCGATGCGATGTTGCCTCTAGCTAGAGAGACGTCAACCCTGGTGCCCATTATTTGGATTGATACACAGGAGTTCCGCGGCGCGAAGCTGGCGGAATTCTCTGCGTGGGCCATGGGCGCCTTCAAACACATGTCGGCGGTTGCAACCCGTTTCGTTGGGAGGAGTTCCTCTGGCTCGCTGGTGGAAATGGTCGGCGCATGGAAGCAGGAGGAGCGTCCGGAGCAGCCCAGCACCGTGGTCGTCTTCGAAGATGCTTGTGTCAAGATTGACCCGGGGAAGCCAGAGAACAGCGCCGAGCGCATGAAGAATGTCCCGAAGTCGATCGAGCACGTGCGGTGCTTCCAGGAGCCCGACGAGTTCCGCGAGCAGGGGGGGGCAGTTCGCGTCAGCGGAAATCTTTACCATTCAGGAGTGCGCCCCGGGGGGGCCCATGGTCGAGGACGTGATGAAGTCGTTCATCAGCGGAGATGGTTTGATGTGCCGGCCTCTGTTCTGTGCGACCGCTGCTTATGACCGCTGGAACCGCGCGGCGCGCTTCTGGGGGTGCAACTGGGGGTTCCCCAGCATATCAGGCAGCCCAGATGATGCCAGGAATCTATGCGCCTTCGAGCGCCGCGTCGGGGTTGCGGAGCTCCGGGCGACATTCACCAGTGACCCAGCGAAGGTCGACGCTAAAAACCGCATCTTCAAGGAGGGCACCGAGCTGGACGATTTCTTGAAAAGCCCGTTCGTTCTGCAGGCTTATTTGGATACATATCTGATGCCGTGGATTTTAGAGCGCATTGCGTCGGAGTGCAGGGCGATGGCGATGGCGCCGCCGCCCGAGATCCTCAATGGCCAGGCGCATCGTGGCCGCCGTGGCCAACGGCGGCCTCCAGGTGCCAGAGTCGTTCCAAGCGGCGGAGGAGGACGCTGCCGCGACGGAGAGCGCCGAGCAGATTCGGCGCGACGTTCACGTTAACCAGGCGGCCAACGGTCTCATCAGGACCTACGATGCGACGAAGAGCAAGTGCATTCCTGGGAAGTACAGGGAGGGGAAGAATGGGGAGAAGGACCGCCTTCAGGTCTTTTCCGATGCAATGTCTACGTGGCCGCGCCTCTTCACTCTCCGCGGATGTCGCGGCGGCGGCTTCGAAGGGCTGGACATCGACCCCAAGAGGATGGGGGAGGCGATCGAGCAGGCGGGCGGCGCCGCGGTCTTCGGCGGAGGGCCAGGGCTCGCTTCCTGGCGCAGCACGCGGGAATGCGCGGATTTTCTTCGGGGTCGCCCCTTGGGCGGCGACGCCGAAGACGCGCCGGAGATCGCCGTCCGCAACCAGTGCGGGTCTCTCATGGGGGCGCGCATCTACCAGAGGTTGTCTGAGAAGGTGGATTCGGGCGAGATTGCCGACGCGGACTACGCGAGGATTCCGATGCTGCGGAGCGTCCGCTGCGGCGGCGACATGGCGCAGATCGAGGTTTCATTGGCGGACCAAAGCCGCGCGGCCATTGGGTTCAAAACAATGTAATGTTGTGCCGTGCGTGTTTCCGACATTCAATTTTTGGGTGCGTTGATCGTTTGGGCATCGGGATTTGGTCGACCATTGCGAGGTGCCGTACTGCCGCAAGTGCGACGTCCTTGGTCGTCGCCTGGCCCGGCGCCCTTCCCTGCAGTGGATGGTCCGCGACGACGGGACAGTCGCGCTGTCGCTGGAGCCGTCGAATTCCTTCCAGGGCGGGAAGGATTCGTGGGAGACCAGGACGGCGTTTCGAATGCTTAGGCCATGAGTTCGTTCCGGGCTTGTTTTTTGATTTTCCATTGGGGAATGGGTGCCGGACAACGGTTTCGCCCGCGCTTTTCCCAGGGGAGGGCCGCCCTGGTTGCCCGCGGACAAGGGTTTTCGCCGAGGCTGACATCAATAGCTGCTTCGTTGCCTTCTTAGTCAAGAAGATTGAGCATTTGTGCCAGATGAAGGAGGACATGCCTGCCCTCGCGGCGTTTGCCGCCAACTACAAGGCACGGCGCTCGGCCCTCGCCGCCTACATGTCAGCGTCCGCGAAGGTGGCGAAGAAGGCCCTGGTCAGGATCGCGCGCCTGGGCAAGCCAGGTTGCGACCTCCCATTCCCATGGAATCTTTCGGTGGACATGCGCAAGGCGGTGGACTTGCTTCTGGCCCAGGACAAGTTCAAATGCCTGGAGGGCCGCTTTGAGAATCGCCGCTGTCCTCCCGCATCGAAGCTCCACTACGCCCTGAGCTCCATCGAGGACGTGGTTTTGGCAGACCTGGAGTCCGAGGCGGCTTCCATCCACGGGGCGTCTGTGAACGCGTGCATGTTTGACGGCGCCGGGTTCTTGACGCCCGAGGGCGCCGTGGCCGATCTCCGCGCGGCAGCGATTGCCGTCGCAGAGAAGTGGGGGCTGCGCATGACCGCGGAGGTGATCGGCGATGGCCACGCATGGATATTGCACGACTTTGGCGGATGCAAGCCGCGCAGGGGGGGGCCAGTTCGTTTTCGCTTGCCTTTTGCCGCGCTATGCCATCCAGTATTTCCAATGGCCTCGCGGCGCCTTTCTGTAGATTGTCTCGGGCAGGTATCGGAGAGGAGGCGCGGGGCTCCCCCGAAAGGGCAAGCGAGGGGGAGAAAGCGAGAGAGAGAGAGGAGAGAAAGAGAGAGGAGAGAGAGAGATATATAGAGAGAGAGAGAGGAGAGAGAGAGAGAGAGAGAGAGAGAGAGAGAGAGAGAGAGAGAGAGAGAGAGAGAGAGAGAGGAGAGAGAGAGAGAGAGAGAGAGAGAGAGAGAGAGAGAGAGAGAGAGAGAGAGAAAGAAAGAAATATAGAGATAGAGAGAGATAGGGATATATATATATATATATAGAGAGAGAGAGAGAGAAAAAAAAAAAAAGGAGAGAAGAGAGAGAGAGAGAGAGAGAGAGAGAGAGAGAGAGAGAGAGAGAGAGGTGAGATTCTCTCCGCGCCCAGCCATTGTGCGTTGGACAGATGCATCCCATGCCCAGCCAGTGCTCATGCCGCTGCAGTCTTTTGCTCGAGGTGACTCTGCCCCCAGTCGCCGTGCCCCCCCGATGCCGCCCCGCTGTATTGTCGCGGCCGTGCTCCTGCTCGAGAGGCCCGCGGCTCTGCCGATGGCGAGGAGGCCCGCAGCCGTCGCCAGCGCCGCGTGCGAGTCATGCAGGGCGGGGCCCAGCCTGCAGCAGGACGCGCCCGACGAGTTCGAGACGGCGCGCGCGACGTGCTCTCGCTGCGGCAACAACCTCGCCCGCCAGCGCGAGGTCGACTGCACCCTGCACGGCTTGCACTGCATGCAGACCATCACAGCCACTTCGTGGAAATGCACTGGCAGGAGCTGCCGCCTCACGTTCATGCCGAACTTCGCGTGGGTCGGCGGGGAGAAGCACGACGCGGCCACGCTAGCCGACGTTGAGGGTGTCGGCGTGCCGTTCACCAGCAGCAAGCGCGCGTGGACAGTCAGGTACCTCCGGCACCACGAGAATATGATGTTTCGCTGCGCCGCCTGCTCGCGCGTTCTCCGGTAACTCGCAACTAAAGGAATTCTTCCGAATCCGATTCCAATTGTTTTTTCTGGAAGCCATAGTAACATAAATCTTTTTGTAACCCACCGCAGAAGAACCAACTCTCTTTCGAATCCGCACGAGGGAAATCTTGTGTAATCTGCTGCACAAGGGATCCCTTTGTAATCCGCCACATAAGGAATCCTTTTGTGAGCCTCCACAACAAGAAATCCTTTTGTGCTCGGCCATAGAAGGAATCCTTTTGTAATCCATTACAAATGGAATCTGCGTGTAAGATGCCACAAAAGAGCCCTTTTGTAATGCGCCACAAGTGGAGTCCCTTTACAATCCGCACAAAGGGAATCCTTTTTGTAATCCGCTTCAAAAGGAATCCTTTCATTCTCGCCTCAGAGAGAGGCGCGACCCCCCCCCCCCGAACAGGGAAGGGGAAAAGAGGAAACAAAAGAAACATCGGTAACAACTTGTGAAAACACTGTGAAGCAAAGGACAACTTGAAATTATATTGCGGGGCGAAAGGGACAATTTGCAAACATTGGAGCGACAATAGAAATCCTTTGGTAATCCACCACAAAAAAGGAAACCCGGTGTAATCCTTTACAACAAGATGCCTTTTGTGGGGGATTACAAAAGGATTCAATGTATGGAGGATTGCACATGGATTTCTTTTGTGCGAGGGTACAAAGAGGTTTCCTTTGTGGAGGATTACAGAAGGATTTTCATTTTCGTTCCAATGTTTCGTATTTTCTTTTTTTCTCCCCTCAAGATAATGTAATTTCTTCATTTGTTTAGCTGTGCCTTCAAAGTTGTTTTTTTCCATTGATTCCTCTTTGTCCCTTCCTTTTTTCGGGGCGGAGGGCGCTTTACCCTGGGAGGGATATTGCAAAAAGGTATTCCTTTGTGGAGGATTACACAAAGATTATTTGTTTGTGGAGGGTTACACAGATATTTCTTTTATTGCGGGCTACAAAAGTATTCCTTCTGTGGCGGGCTACACATGGATTCCTTTTTTTGTGGCGGGTTACACAGGGAGTCTTAAGGAACCCACGGTATTCACAAGCCAGGAAGCACAACAACGCCGCACATCATACACATCATACATCATAACGCGCCGTTATACACCTCACTAGTCGCACCCCCACAATGGCCCGTACTCGATGGTGATGGTGGTGGTGGTGGTGATACTGATGCTGATGCTGATGCTGGTGCTGGTGATGCTGATGCTGCTGATGATGATGGTGATGCTGGTGGTGATGATGGTGCTGATGCGGATGATGATGCTGATGGGGATGAGGATGCTGATGCTGATGCTGATGCTGCTGCTGCGGAGGATGTGGAGGAGGAGCAGGTGGAGGAGGAGCAGGAGGAGGAGGAACAGGAGGAGGAGGAGGAGGAGGGATGATGATTTGGGTGTCGGAGACAGGGGGCATGGCGAGGAGAAGGACAATGTGTCAGGCGGAACGACCTGACGAGACGGAACTGGAGAAATACGGGGAGGTCTCATGGGGAGGGAGAGGGGTGAGATCGGACTTAGGTCGGGGAGCGAGGAAGGAGGTTAGAAGATTGGGGAAGAGGAGGAGGAGGAGGAGGAGGAGGAGGAGGAGGAGGAGGAGGAGGAGAAGGAAAAGGAGGAGGAGGAGGAGGAGGAGGAGGAGGAGGAGGAGGAGGAGGAGGAGGAGAAGAAGAACGGAACGCAAATTTGTCGAGGAAGAGGAAGAGGACGACGAAGGGGATGGATGAGAAGTTGGGAGGAGACCGAGGGCCGTGACTACGGTCGGGTCGAGGCGCAACTGGTGGTTGTGTGAGCTGCCACCAGCGGGGCGCAGCTGGTCGCGGGGTGGGCCAGGACGTCTGGCGGGAGCCCGCGCCAGACATGTTCGCCTTCCACAGCGAGCACTTCGCGGAGGCGCGGCCAGAGGCCGACGAGGAGACGTCGTCGCTCCCCCCTCCCCCCTCCTATCCTGCTTCCTCCTCCCTCCCCCCTCCTCTCCGTGCCTCACTCTTCCTCCTTCCTCCTCCTCCCCCTCCCTTCTCCTCCCTCTCTCTCGTGCGTCCTTTTTCCCCCCGTGCCCCCTCCACACTGCCCACTACCCCCCCCCGCTCTTCCCCTTGCTTTTGCCTCCGCTGTCCTCCTCCTTCCTCCCTGTTCCCTCCTTCTTCCCTCTCTCATGCCTCCTCCCTCCTCATCCCCTTTCCTTTCCCTTCCCGGATGTTTTTAGTGCCCTCTTCGGGTGTCCCATCGCAAGCGCTCGGGCTGTAATCCAGGCTCTTCGTCGCCATGGTTTCGTCCATCTTGTGGGCCTCAATGCTCTCCGCCCATCTCTTTAGGCCAGTTTTTCGCATCCGATTCGGCGGCGCGCCGAGAGGGAAGGTGAGATTGGGCCAGGCCTCCTGTGAATGCGGCGGGGCTGATCAGAAACCCTGCGGCCTGTGAGAGACCCGTTGCGTCTTCGGAGAAGGCTCAGAAAGCTTCTCAGAAGGCCAGATGCCATCCGAGCCTTCTGACAAGGCCCGCCCCCTCTGCCTTCCCCCCTCTGCGCGCGGCCGACAGATGGTCCGTGGGCTCGAGAGTGCACCCGGAGTCTCGAGGCCGTGAAAAACAGAGGATTTGAAACCGCAGGTCGGAGGCCTTGGGGCATCCCCCGCTCCTCCAGAAGTCGCTGGGGAACCCCCATCGGGGTTCAATCTCAATTCAACGGCTCAACGGCACGCAGGTGCCACGGCTCTGGCTTTGAGTGAGATTTGGTCTCCAGTCTCCAGACCCAGGGGACCTCAGCAGACAATCCAGGACGAGAAACTGGCCCCTGTGGGAAGAGGGTGTCGAGGGAACATAAGTCACGACGTCGGAGGTCAGGGGTCATGTTTTTGTTGGGTCTTGGGGCGGTCGTTTACGGCTCGGCTGTTGGCGTTGGTAGCGCCCATTCTCGGCGATGGAATGCAGAACTCAGGCTTCCGACGTCGTGTTTTGTTGTTTCGCCATACTCTGAATAGGATTCGTGTTTTCTCTAGACACGCCCGCGCAGGAGAGATAATGAGCGAGAACCCCCCCACTCTCTCCTCTTCTCTTGCCGCATCCTCACACAGTCACCTCATCAACGTCATGTTCATCACGATCCTCACCATCGTTACCAGTATCATGCCACCATTATCACGCACACTCAAACATTGTCATCATTATCATCCTCCTCGTCGTTATCGTCATCATCATCAACAACATCACCGTTCATAAGCATCATGATGATGCCACTCATCATCATCATCGTCGTCGTCGTCGTCGTCACCATCATCATCATTACCACTACCCTTACCGTTTTCCTTACCATTACCATTACCATGACCGTTACCATTACCATTACCATTACCATTACCATTACCATTACCATTACCATTACCATTACCATTACCATTACCATTACCATTACCATTACCATTACCATTACCATTACCACCATTACCATTACCATTACCATTACCATTACCATTACCATTACCATTACCATTACCATTACCATTACCATTACCATTCCAATTACCACTACCATTACCATTACCACTACCATTGCCATTGCCGTTGCCATTGCCATTGCCATTGCCATTGCCATTGCCATTGCCGTTACAATTTCAATTACCATTACCATGACCATGACCATGACCATGACCATGACCATGACCATGACCATGACCATGACCATGACCATGACCATGACCATGACCATGACCATGACCATGACCATGACCATTACCATTACCATTACCACTACCACTACCACTACCACTACCACTACCCTTACCATTACCGTTACCATTACTATTACCACTACCATTACCATTATCATTACCATTGCCATTGCCATTATCATTACCATTACCATTACCATCTATCATTACCCTTACTATTACCATTACCATTACCGTTACCATTGCCATTACCGTTACCGTTACCACCACCACCATCATCATCAACCCCATTGATCATCATCAACCGCATCATCATCATCACCAACAACATCAACATCAACACCATCAGCAGCAGCATCATATTCATCGTCATCAGCAGCTTCATCGTCTTTACCATCATCATCATCATTTTCACCTCGATCATTATCATTACCATTACCATTACCATTACCATTACCATTACCATCACCATTTCCATTGCCATTGTCATTGCCATTGCCATTCCAATTTCCATTACCATTACCATGACCATGACCATGACCATTACCATTACTATTACCATTAGCACTATCACTTCCACTACCATTACCATTACCATTACCATTGTCATTACCACTACCACTACCACTACCATTACCATTACCATTACCATCACCACTACCATTTACCACTACCATTACCATTACCATTACCATTACCATTACCATTACCATTACCATTACCATTACCATTACCATTACGATTACCATTTAGCTCTACCATTACCATTACCTTTACCGTTACCGTTACCGTCACCACCACCACCATCATCATCATCATCCCCATTGATCATCATCAACAGCATCATCATCATCATCATCATCACCAACAACATCAACATCAACACCATCAGCATCAGCATCATAGTCATCGTCATCGGCGGCATTATCGTCTTTATCATCATCCTCATCCCCACCTCGATCATTATCATCGCCAGAGCTGCCCACGCGCACACACAATCACACACTCACGGGCTCACTCAAAGACGCAAGCATGCACGCTTTCGTCGTATAGACACCCTGAGAACTACTCGAGCGGGAGCTTCATGTGTGAGTGAATTAGGAGGAAGTCTCGAGCGGAAATCGAAGAGGTTACCGGCATACTGTGCCAGGCATGGCGTTTGACCATCCGGGCAGCTCGTGGATATGAACTCGTCTGTGAATGAACTGGGTGGGAGCCTCGTTTGTGAGTGAACTGCGAGGAAGGCTCGAGCTGGAACCCCCTTCTTATGGGGTTCCCGCTTCGTGTTTGCAATCCGAGGGGGTCATCGGGATACTGTGCCGGGCGTGACGCTTGATCACCCCAAGGGGGGCAACTCGTAAGGATGTCTCGAGCGGAGGGCTTACCTGTGAGCGAATGTTGAGGTAACTCTCGGGCGGTTGCCCCCCGCCCTCCCCCCCTGTAGGACTCCCGGCATTGCGGCATTTGCGGCGGCAGCTGGACGAACGGCCAGCGACCGCGCTCCCAGGACATCGGCGTCAGCGTGCCCGGGAACGCTTGCGCTGGATGGCTGCCAGGTGTCGGCCACGTGTCGTGGCCGCGTACTTGCGCTTGCTGTGCGACGGCTGGTACACCAAGCGGCGCTTTCAAGGGGTTGGCCTATGTCACTGCGGGTGCGGCGCCCGCCACGACAGCATCGTGCATCACGCACGGTGCCCAGTGATCGCTCGGCTCCTCCGGCGCGAAGCCGGGGTCACCCCGCCAGATCCGCAGCGGGCGCTGGACGACTTCCTCGGCTTCGATTGGGTCGGGAGAGACCACGCCCTGCAGGGAGAGAGCCGTGTACGCCCTCCATCGTCTCGTGAACACTCGCCGGCACGGGCAATTGCAAGAAGAGGATCTGCCAGGCGCCTTCCGCATCGCCCTGGGGGAGGCAGCGCAGGTTCAAGACGATCCAGGTAATGAGTGACGTGCGTTTTTTTTTGTCCTTACAATTTGCTCTCGACTCCTCCTCCCCCTCATCCCCCTCCTCCTCCCCCTTCGCCTCCTCCCCTCGTGCGGCTGGTCTGGGGGATGCCAGCCGTCGATTTTGGATCCCTTTGGGGCCGTTTGTTGTCCCTGCCACGTGGCCGATAGGGTCACGTGCGTGCCGTCGTTTCTGGCCAGGGGGGGCACGATTTGTCCGCTGCCTGCTGGCCCCCGCCGAATCAGCAGCATCTGGTCAATTCTCTCCCTCCGCTCTTCTCCTCCATCGTGGTGCAGATTTCGCCTTTCGTGCGGGAAGTGGCGTTCGCGCCGGAGCACGCGGAGGTGGCTGGTGGAGGGCCCCCTGTTTCGCCGACCGCTCCCTTTCCAGGGAGTCGTCCACGTGCCCGCACTGTCCTCTTTTGCCGGCCGCCTGCGGTCATAACGCGGCCATCTTGTCACCCTGACTGCCCTCAGCTTGCTGCGTCGTTTTCGTTTGTGGGCCGACGCATTGTAGTTTCAGCGCGCTTTGCCTTCTTGTTTCCCTTGCCCCCCCTCCATTGCGGCTGCCTCTTTAGTCCCAGACCAGGGAAACTCGGGGACGCAGCCTAATACTTGACTGCCTGTGTGTTCTTCCCCTCCTCTCCCTCCTCCGCTCTTCTTCCTCCCGCTCTTTGGTCTCTTTGAAGGAGTCTCGCTCGCCGTGTGTTTTTCTCCGCCGTCGGTACTCAAACATCGGGTTGGCTGCCACGGGAATGTGGTCGCCAGGTCGCCACCCGAGGCCCTGAGCACCCGCGGGGTTCCAGACAGTTCTACGGGGGGAAAACAAAGAAAACAAACATGTCCCGAGTGGGAGCCTCGTCAGTGAGGGAGTTGCGGGGAAGTCTCGATTTGGAACCCCCGTCCAATCGGGCACCCGCCTTGTGTTTTTTTACCCGAGGGGGTTATTGTAATACTGCAGCCGACATGACACTTGTGCATCCCGGAGAGGCACACCGTGAGGACTTCCCGAGTGGGAGACTCCTCCGTGAGTGGGTTGCGACGAAAAAGTCTCGATTTGGACCGCCCCCTTGCAGGGCTTCCATTGCATTCCCAACTATCTGGCGTTGGGTCTTCAGCTTGAATGGAGCACTCCTCGCGCGCGTCTCTTCCTCCTTCTCCTCATCCCTTCCTCCTCTTACCTTCGGTCTGCTGCCTGCCTGCTTCCTACTGCGCAGTAGCGCCTTCGTGGGGCCTTGGGAGACCCAGCAGAGTGGGATTGGTTGTGCGCGGACCCAGACGAGTCTTCGTGGCTCCCCCAGAGGCTGCCATCTGCGTCACTGTCGCCACTTCCATGGGCTCTCAGAAAGTCCAGCGGAGTGGTGTCATGCGCACATCCAGACTGGACCTCGCCTCCCTGGGGGGGCTGCTAGCTGTGCAGCAGTCGCCACTTTCGTGGGCTCTCGGGAGGTCCAGAGGAATTGTGTCTTGCACACATCCAGACTCGACCTCGCGGCTCCCTGATACGGGGCTCCCACCTGCGCAAATGTCGCAACTTTCGTGGGCTCCTGGGAGGTTCCGCGGAGTGGTGTCTTCCGCTGGGAGGTCCCGCGGGGTGGCGTCTTACGCACATCCAGACGAGATCTCTCGGCTCTTTGGGGGGGTTGTCGGCTGCGCAAGAGTCGTCATTTTCGTGGGTTCCTCGGAGGTCCAGCGGAGTGGGGGGACACGCATGCCCAGACGAGACCTTGCGACCGAGACTTCACGACGCACCGGTGGGGCTGCCAGCTGCGCAACCTTTGTCTATTTCGTGGGCCCACCACCACCACAAAGCCGAGCATCTGGAAGGACGCGTGGGCAAGGAGCGCGCACTTGGCTTTCTTCAGGACGTACAGGGAAACCGCTGCAAATCGGTTGCGTGTGCACGGGAATTTCGGGTGGGGAGAGCAAGTGGAAAGAAACGGAAGAAGGACGAGGAATAGGGGGAAGGGCAAATATAGAGGTTGTTCGCGCTCAGATGTTCTTCGGCAGGTCGTAACTGCAGATGCCCGTTGTTGCCGCGGTCGTCCACGCCTGCGCTTGGCAGCCCAATTCTTCGGCGTCGCCTCGCCATGGCAAGCAATTCGTCGTACCAAAGAAGTAACCGCATGCCGATGATAATAAAGGGACCCCCCCCCTTCAGTGTTTAGAGTTGATTATCGTCGCCCCATACAAAATTCAAATTGGGCGGCGAGCGCTGAGGCCGAACTTCATTATCACCTCGAAACGCTATGTTGAGATAGCAACATCAAGCGATGTTGATATAGCAACATCAAGCGAAGCGATCACACTTTTTCAGGATGTGTCGAGCGAAACCAATAATTTTGGGAGGCAGACTCAAACGAAACGAGCAATATTCTTATTATTCTTCTACTTTCCTCTTCTTCTTTTATATTTCTATATGTCCTCACGCTCGCCTGAACTTTTTATCCCTGGGGTTGATTATCCATGGAAAATGAAGCACATGAGCTACCCTACACGAGCACTTAAAACAGTCAATTTTCATAAAGCGTTTGTAAATTAAACTTGATAGATTTGGAACTTTGGATTTTTCCTTTCTTCGTCCTCTTCTTATTCTCCTCTTCTTCTTCTTTCTTATTATTCTTCTACTGTATTCTTCTTCTTTTATATTTCTCTCTGTCCCCACGCTCGCCTGAACTTTTTTATCTCTGGGGTTGATTATCCATGGAAATTGAGGCACATGAGCTACCCTACACGAGCACTTACAAAAAACAATTTTCATGAGAGATAAGCCATTGTTGAGGATATTTCTATGAAAACTAAACGCCAAGGATGTCTCAAAACGTGCTCGGCTTGGTCTCCTCTTGATCATCTCTTACTTCGAGATTATGCTGAGGTCTGCTGGGCTACTTTTATTATCTCTCCCTGAACCCCGAACTTTATTATCCCCTAGTGTTTATTCTCACGGGCATGAGGTTAGGCCCATGTGATGCGATGCTCTTTAACACATTGATTTGTCTATCACGGAATACCTCAGAAAACGATTTCGCCTATGCCTTCATGAGAACGCTTGCGTTGCTGACCCTTGAGAATCATGAATGCTGTATGCCCAAAGTACGTCGTAAGCAGCGGCAATGAAACGCATCGACCCTACATCTGTCTGTCTTCAGCAGCCGCATAGAGTCCAATGAGTATAAGAGCTTGCTCAGAACGACGCTGTCGTAGATCTTGTGCTTTCGTTTCCACCCACGGGATGCGTGAGACCAAATATTGCTGAGCTGCTCGAATGTTTGGTTTGCTTCCCCCAATCTTCTGCATAGCTCGGCGGAGGCTTTCCCATCGCATGTGATTAAGCCTCCCAAACATACAGCATCCCGGGCAGTCTTAATATCATCCCCACCTGGCGTCGTAATTTTGTGGTGTGTTGATGTTCACATTTGTATTGTTTAATCTTAGTTAGAGTTCCAAGCAGTATTTGTGTCCTTCTTCAACAATTGCGTTCAGCGTGTTCTGAAGGTTTGATTGGTGTGAAGACATAGGTAACGTGTCATCAGCGTAGAGGACATCTCGGGTCACCACGTATCGCGGTTCTCTATCTAGACGTAGCGCGTCGATCGCGTTGTGCAGCATAACGGTCTGGACTGCTATGAACAAAGATGGAGATATCGGGCACCCTTGTGTTCTTCCAGCACTCTGTCGTCTCTCAGTAGAGGTACCAGTGTGGTCCTGGATGACAAAGAAGCGGGCCGAATGAATCGAGCGCCTTCATTTCCACGACTTCGGCGGGGAGCCCGAATCTGATCAAAGCTTTACACAGTGAGTCCGGCTTTATTCGGTGAGAAACTCTAGCCCAATCTAGACCTCCAATCACATTTAAGTGTGCAGCATCAATCGTACGTCTCACAAACGCGAGGTTTTCTGCAGTTCCGTGTCCAGGGCGGAATCCGTCTTGAGAGGCGCGCATGCGTTTCTCGGAACTACCCTGCAACAGCCTCTGATGAGTCGCCGCCAGAATCTTGCAACCAATTGAAAGTAATGACATCGGTCTGTAATCCTCTGGTAACGTTGTATCTCCTTTGTGAGTCAAAGAACTATATTGACTAGTCTTCAACAATCTGGGATACAGTTCCTAGCCCAGCATCGTGGCATAATTGTAATGATACACCGCTTGCGCATTTATCATGTAGTAACGCCTTCCAGAACTCAGAAGGAATCTCGTCGGGACCCTTAGTTTTTCCACATCGTAGTTTATGTAGTACCTTCAGCAGCTCATCCATTATACAGTTGTATGTGTGGATAAAACGAGTTTCCCCAATCAGCTGCAAAGCTTCTGCTTGTAGTTTTGGATACCGTCTCTGCCATTGCACTGTCTCGAAATAGTCAACCATGATATTTGCTCTTTCGGTCGTGCCAGATAGCATCCCATCTGGTGTCTTAGTAGCTGCGTGTTTGACCGGCCTTGATTGGCGGAGAGATCGAACGGGTTCCCATTCACCTCCGCCCAGATTCCTCTCGGTTCGCGGGGTGCACGTCCGGAGCACGTACAGTCATGTCGTCGCGGGGCCTCTTGGGAGCCTCTTGGGGGCCTCCTGGAGGCCTCCTGGGAGTTTCTTTTGGCCTCTTGGGGACTTCTTTCGGGCCTTTCCCCCCTCCCTCCTTTTCACACATTTTCCCCATTTTCCCTTCCAGCGCCGGCTCTAATCATGGGCGCCGCAGTGACCAACTTCCACCTGGCTGGCGCTGCGCTGCAGTTCACCCGGAGGGGGGAAAATAATATTA